GTAAAATACCAAACTATCAAGTGATTTTACTATTGTAAATCATCATGTGATTTTGAGCTAAAAATGACATAGAAATCATATAGCTCAAAAACATGTTTCAATAAATAACCATCCGTATTTAGTTGACATTGCTTACGTGATCATCTCGGCGAGCATTTCTCCACAGACGGCACCGTATTTTGGCCGAGGAAGAGCTCGATTCTACGAGGAAGGGAACACGGTCTTCCACGACCGTTGCCGCCTCCCCTCAGAGAATCAAAGCTCCTCCTTGACGTCCGTTATCGCCGGCAGAGAAAATACTCGCCAAGATGATCACGGTCCGCAAGTTCAACTAAACGGATTTTCTACAATTTTCTAACTATTTTCTAAGTTTTTCATTTCATGGAAAAATTAATTCTAAGATCACGTAAGCCGCCGGGGACGAGGATGGCGCGTGCTCCAGCGAGGAAGAGCGAGGCATGATTTTGATGAACTAATTTAACTTTTGTTTATCTAAACATATATGTAAATCATTATGTGATTTTGAGCTAAAAATGACATAGAAATCACATAGCTCAAAAACATGTTTCAATAAATAACCATCCGTACTAGTTGACCTTGCTTACGTGATCATCTCGGCTAGCATTTCTTCCACCGGACGGCACCGCATTTGGCCAAGGAAGAGCTCCGATTCTACGAGAAGGGAACACGGTCTTCCACGACCGCTTGCCGCTTCTCCCTCGAGAATCAAAGCTCCTCCTTGACGTCCGTTACCGCTCGACAGAGAAAATGCTCACCGAGATGATCACGGTCCGCAAGTTCAACTAGTACGGATTTTCTATAATTTTCTAACTATTTTCTAAGTTTTTCATTTCATGGAAAAATTAATTCTAAGATCACGTAAGCCGCCGGGGACGAGGATGGCGCGTGCTCCAGCGAGGACGAGCGAGGCGTGATTTTGATGAACTAATTTAACTTTTGTTTATCCAAACATATATGCAAATCATCATGTGATTTTGAGCTAAAAATAACATATAAAATCATAATAAAGTCCAACATATAAAGTTACACATGCATCTACATCGCAAAATGAGATAAGCTACTGATAAAACATAAGAGGATTAAGTTTGTTACCTCCAAAATCGAAGAGCAACACCAATGGAGGGAGAGAGAGCAAGAACAACAGCAAGCTGAAGAACAGAGGCAGTGAGTTTGAATGGAATGGCTCGAGCTCGGGGAGGAAGAAATGAGCCGTTGTATAGGCCCGCATAATTAGTCCTGGTTAGGTGGTCAAACCGGGACTAAAGATTAATATTTATTCCCGGGGTATCACTCAAACCGGGACTAAAACCTTTAGTCCCGGTTGGTAATACCAGCCGGGACTAAAGATCCCTACCACGCGGATAACCGTTGGGCAGGGACCTTTAGTCCCGGTTGGTATTACGAACCGGGACTAAAGGGTCCTTTAGTCCCAACGACAAAAAATACCGAGGCTAATGCCAAATTGGGACATCGTTCTAAAGTCTGTTCTCTAGTAGTGATGTATTCATCTCAATACACATGTGTTGATATGGATTGGAGTGAAATTAAACTAAGTTCCATTCTATTCCACTCCGACAAATATGAATTGAGGTGAATACACACGCTTCCAAACATGACTAGGTCGAACCAATCTTCAGTCGATCACTTTCCAATACGAGAATAATCTTTTATTGCACGTAGCACTATTTACAAACCTTAGAATCTATTTGATTTAAGTGTAAAGCACGGGTATATTTGAGAGTCCGTCCACCCTACCGACAGGTCTGATTTGTTCTACGTCATCCTTAATTGGGCCGAATTAGCAGTTAGCCTAGGCCTAAGTTACGTCCACCAATCCAAGCGTGCTCCCTGCATGGCTGAACGGGCCCAAAACTGAAGTTGGCTTAGCCTGAACGGCAGTACTATTTTCGTTTCAATTTTAATGGGCATTTTTATATTAACCAACCGGATATGTCTGCTATCTTGACTACTGTTTATAAATTTAACTCGTAATTACAACGCACGATCAATTCTTAGTACTTGCTACTAGTTGAGAATAATATGCTAGCTAGCTAAGTGAAGAACTATCGGTGCAGAAAGTGACCAACACGTAAATATTTATAGTTTTGCCGTACGTTGTGATCGGATATGGCCTAGCACTCAATGACACAGGGTTTATATTGGTTCAGGCAATGTGCCCTACGTCCAGTTTGAGTCGATCAGTGACTTTCTTCTTGAACCCATGTGCTCGAAGTTTGCAGTGGGGTTACAAATGAGAAGGAGAAAGATGGGGGTACAAGAGGTCCGGTCGGACTCTGGTCTGAGGAGCCGAGAGTGACGGGAGCTCTGCTATGTGCTAAGTGTTCGAGCATGTGCTCGAGGTTTGAACCTAGTGGTTCTGTTGTGGTGTGTTGAATCGATGTAAGTGGACTGATCGGTCTAAGTGAACTGATCTCCCTCTTTTAGGAGAAAGCGCATCCCCTTTGATAGATGAAGGTGATGGCCTTACAAGAGAGAGAGAGTACGTATGCTAAGTCTTGTTGCCCATACCGTTGGGTACAAGATGATTGTAGGCGCCCACAACACTGTTAGTGTCAGATGCATGTGGGAGGTTGCATCTTCTTCAATGCACGGGCGGATGTCGGTGCTGCTACATAATCGTTGATGCCTGTGAGGCATGTGAGGGATTTTACCGTATTCGCACTGGCACGGTAAATACCGGGGCCCGCAACACTGTTGAGGCCCAGAGGCATGTGGGGGGAGCTTTACCGTGTTTGTCTGGCATGGGAGTTGATGGCGCCCGCACTACTGTAGTGAAAATGTCGGCGCCCACAACACTGCTTGGGTTCTGACATGCCAAGAAGGTTGCAGGGTACTGTCCTGTAGGTATTGTGGTTGACTTGAGTGCCCTGCCTTACTTTCTCCGGCCGTTTCCTAGTCCTCACCGAGCGGACGTCCCCGGTCGGTTGGTCCCAGTCGGCTCTGATTGCGCTAGTCGGAGAAGAGTTGTAACCAGGGTTCGGCGATCCCGGTTGGAGATGCGGGTCGGAGTCGGAAGTGGTGATGGGACAGCCTTCATTCGGAGAGGCCGTCCGGAGGTGGGCCGAGTCGAAAGCGAGTGCTCGGTCGGAGAGGCGGCCGGAGTCGGAAGCGAGCATCATTCCTCCTCGGCCAGCCTTCCGGCTGGAGATTGGATCGCTCTTCTCGGCCTGTCGTTTAGGTATTTGGGCCAGCCTAGGAGTTGCACGTTGTTATAGCGTTGTCTACTAGGCTAAGCCTTTGTTTGGTGAAGCCGGTCCACGAGGGACCCCGGGTTTATGAACCCGACAAGAACACACCTTAATATTTTTGAAAGGTTGGCACCACTACGTTTTGCAAGCTAGTTGAACAAGACAAGATAGTGCATATGAAATGTTAAGCTTTCAAATATACTCATAAAATACATGCCATATGATATGGATTGTGTTTTCCATAATTACTTTTGAGCAACAACAACCTACCTAAAGATTACAAAAACATCTCTCGCAAAACAAAACTACAAATTATCAACTTGTTCAAGTATCTTATTTGAATCTCAAACAGTACTTTTCAGCGACCGAATAATATTTTCCTCTCACAACAAATCAGCATAAGCATTAGTATAAGCCAAATTTCAGCGAAACGAACACGGCTATGCTATGAGATAAGTCATGCACGTGGTTTGAGAAACATGTGCAGCGAAACGAACACGACTATGCTATGAGATAAGTCACATGTGGTTTGAGAAGCATGTGCAGCGAAACGAAAGGCTATGCTATGAGATAAGTCATGCACGTGGTTTGAGAAGCATGTGCACGTGTAAGCATAAATTTTAAGAGGCCGCTAGTTGTGAGATGGCTAATATTGAGAGGGAAAAAGGTATATACTTTCAAGTGGTGGTGACTAGTGAGAGCCGCGGTGCCGTACGCGAGGTCTAGCCTATAGGCTATAGCTACATAGAACATGTAAGTGCGACACAAACTGTAGGACCGTAGCAGTTGGGTAGGACGTGGGGGTGTTTGATCCAGCTACTAAAATTTAGGAGGTGTGTCGGGAGGATGTTGCATGGGGTGTTCGGATACTAATAAAAAAACAAATTACATAATCCGTCAGTACTCTACGAGACGAATTTTTTAAGCCTAATTAATCCGTCATTAGCACATGTTTACTGTAGCAAAACATTGTCAAATCATGAACTAATTAGGCTCAAAAGATTCGTCTCGCAAATTAGTCGCAAACTATGTAATTAGTTTCGTAATTAATCTATATTTAATACTCCATGCATGTGTCCAAACATCCGATAGGACAACAACTAAAATTTAGGAGGGACAGCCAAACACCACAACTTAGGACCAAGCAAAGCAAGCCAATCAGTGTGCGCTAACATATGTGTGGATCTCAGCGAGCGAGCGACATATTTTCATTCATCTCTTGGACGGCTCTCGCACGATTTCAGTCCATAAACACCAATTCAAACAAGCTGGTGGTTGACACGATTTCAATCCATAACAAAGTTCCAACCAAGTATACATTACATAAACATGTAAGTGCGACACAACTGTAGGACTGTAGCAGTTGGGCAGGACGTGCCAACAACGTAGGACCAAACAAAGCAAGCCAATCAGTGTGCGCTAACAAATGTGTGGATCTCAGCGAGCGAGCGACATATTTTCACTCATCTCTTGGACGGCTCGCACGATTTCAGTCCATAAACACCAATTCAAACAAGCTGGTGGTTGACACGATTTCAATCCATAACAAAGTTCCAACCAAGTATACATTACATAATATATGTACTGGTGAAACTAGAGTATGCAAACGGTGTGGTAGTGGAGGGAAAATGCCAGAAGAAGTAAGTGGTAGGGGAGGGCCGTATGTACGTGTGGCCTCTATATTATATTATATTATATATAAACGTTGCAAGTGTGCCACAAAGTTGTATCGTGTGCTCAAGGAGCCGCATAATTATACAAAGTTTGGAGATGCAGACAACCGCGTGTGTCGGTCTCGCCTTCCTCCCCGCGAAGCAGCTGGTAGGGTCCAAGGGGAGCCACCACAAAGCAGCAGGTGCCTCCGCCGCTGCACCACCGCCGGTACTGATCGGCGGCGTCTTGGAGTCCAAGCCGGTGCTGGCTCGGCGACTCCCGTGTTTTTCGTGGAGCCACCGTGTTCGGACTTGGGCCACTGCCGCTACTACCCCACGTCAAGACCTTCTGGACGAAGAGGGACATCAAATTATTAGCAGGAGGAATGTCTCAAATTTTGAACCGTCCGTCTGGGGAGATTTCTTCCTCACCTACTCCAGTCCTTTGGCTTCCTCCACCGAACAGGTACGTTTTTAGCTAACTGCTTAGAGCATCAGCAATGTATTTTCACTGCCTCGATAGGAAGGTGGGACCAAGGAACAGCGGTAGTAGTAGTTCCCCTACTCATGCAGTGTACATCCGGCCGGTAAGAAGGTGGGCCACGCAATAGCAATAGAAAAATCAGCAATCCAACTCGCCCCGTTCGGCTCCTACATAAGCTGACTGATTTTGACTGATTCAATAGTATTTTACGAGAGAGAATAAGCTAAAATAAAATAATATTATAGCAGTGTTGCTACCGGTATCAACTGTTACCTGCTCTTCTCCTACCCTTCAAGTTAGTGGCCTATTTAGATCAAACTAGCTAATAATTAGCTGCTAAAAATTAATTGGGTGGATTAAACTTGCCTATAGCTAATAGGACAACAAACTATTAGCTAGACACCTAGCTATCTCATTAGCTGGCGAACCTAACTAATATATTAGCAGCTAATTGATGGTACGTTAACCAAAATATATGTGCCCACCTATTGATAAAGTATAGCAACTAACTATTAGCCGTGCAATAGTAAAAAAAGGGTATTTTTATAAAATAGCACTCTAACCACCTATTAGCTAATGAGATTCAAACACCTTGCAGCTAAGAATTAGCCCGCTAATTTTAGCTCTGAACTACGAGCAAACTAACTATTAGTTGCTAGCGGATCCACTCCTACACCCATCAGCATAGACAAACAAATACATGAAAATCTTTATAGCTACTTGATGTGCATCATTAAAGATGGTGTCCCTACAGTTCATTGATTCAGAAACCTCATTGCCGCCAGTCCTAGATGCCCCTTCACTGCTGTTTCACCATCGTTAGTGAAAGTGGGCAATGATAAGCAGGGTTATCACCATATGTTCAAAACCGATGGTGAAAGTACTTCATCATTGCCGATCTAGCTTAATTATGATCCGGCAGTGATGAGCTCTTCATCACCTCAGACTATGATCTAGTGGTGTTGAGCTCTTCATCATGATCGGTGTGTATGATTCCATGCAAACAACTTCGTATTTGAAGTTATTAATAACTCTACTATGAGATCCATCCATCCGTTGGGTGCTTGAGCTTTTCATCATTCAAGCGTTTTCAGCATGCCACCCCAACATCTTGGCTATCTTTTATTTGCAACAACCGCTTCAAGTGAGGAATTATTAGAAAATACCACACCGACCTTTTATGGTAGAAAATAACCGCTTCTAAAATGACTGGGTAGATCATTAAGCTTAGCTTGGGCCTCTGTACCAACAAGCAGCATGATCGTTGGGCTGGCTGGGCTGGCCAGCCCTCTCACATGAGTAGTCGTGTTCATCCTGAACCAGCCAGAAAGATTTTTTCTCACATAAACGAACCAAGCAACGATAACGAAACAGTCAACCGAACAGGCTGAAGGTCATACCCAGTTACTAACTTATTTTCAAGCAAAGTGCTTTTGAAAAAAAGAAACAATCAAGGGGGCCGTGCTTATAACATTTGCCACCGTGTCATATTTCATATGCATAATAATATTATATAACAAGGAATATTGCATCAATCATGCATAAGGACAATTAGCTACCAAAACCGCCATCTTTTTCTAGTTCACATATGCTGATTCAATATTTATTTTCTCAGCTGACAAAGATGATAGAACGAGCGAATCATCTGATGAGAAATGTGTCTAAGACAATATCAGCTTCAAGTAATTGTAGCCTGTATGAAAGGATGCAACTCATTAATGTTTTGGAACGTCTCTGCCTGGATCATCTTTTCAAACAGGAGATTAATGTCATACTATCTGAAATTTACAAAACTAATGAAGTTAGTGGGAGTGATCTTCAAACTACTGCTTTGTGGTTCTATCTACTTCGTAAACATGGATATCAGGTTTCTCCAGGTAATGGGCATATCCTATATGGATTTTATTCCTAGTTAAGTGTGTAGTACCCCCTATATTCTAAACATTGACCACTAGTCTTCATCGTAACAAATATGCTATTTACACTTTTGAGCTACAATACCCAAAAATCACTTATTTATGCTTGAGTGAGTACCCTTTACAACCTTCAAAAATGGTAACAAGTCAAAAATTAAGATATAACGTTATCACTCTCCTTCATGCTCCAGATGTCTTTGCAAAGTTCACAGATGAACAAGGGAATTTTGCAGCAAACAATCCATTGGATGTACTGAGCCTTTACAATGCTGCATATCTAAGGACTAATGGAGAGAGAATTCTTGATGAGGCTGTTTCATTCACCAAAAGGAGTTTAGAATCAGTATTAACCAACCTACAAGGGCCATTAGCCCGTGAAGTGAAGTCTGCACTTGAGATACCTTTCCCCAGAAGGGTAAGAATATATGAAGCCAAGTACTACATATCTGTGCATGGACAAGCCAATGAAGTGATAATGGAACTTGCGAAGTTGAACTATAATATCATGCAACTCCAATATCAGCAAGAGCTCAGAATCATTACGAGGTGAAGTTACTGATCTCATTAAAACTAATCTATATCTGAAGTATCCCCAACACACAAAAGGCATTAATTAAAAACAACTTATATCTTCAAGCACCTAACACACAAAAGGCAGAGCTTACTCTGTGTTTCCAAATTTTCTTTATGGACATGACAATTCATATTTAAGATAGTGGTTAACAAATATCCAGGTGGTGGAAGGACCTGGAACTTCAATCAAGGTTATCATTTGCTCGTGATAGAGTTGTGGAATGCTATTTTTGGATAGTAGGAGTATATTATGGAACCAAGTTACCCACGAGGACTAATAATATTGACAAAAGTGCTTGCCATTGTTTCCATTTTGGATGACACTTATGATGTATATGGAACTTTACAAGAGTGTGAGTTATTTACAAGCTGTGTAGAAAGGTATGTATACTTAATCTCATATCCTTTTCTGTCGCATTGTTTTATCTTTTATGGTAACATTATTGGAACAATTTTATGTAATATGGATTTCTTGTCCAGTAATCATTCATTGATGCTTGCTCATTGTGATTTAATTAATAAACACTATGAGACAAATAAGTAGTTTGCCAACAATCACTTGTGGATCTGAATGGTAAATTCTATATCATTGATGCAAGTGACTTTTGTCCAGATGGGACCGTATGGTGGCTGATGGTCTCCCAGAGAACATGAAGTTCATTTTGGGAAAATTATGGATACCTATCAAAGCATTGAGGATGAGCTATCACCTGAGGAGAAGTACTGCATGCCCTACCTAAAAAACTTTGTAAGTTAACCCTTTTGGTGCGCCAATTTCATACTCTTATTACTATCATACTCATGGAAAATTGTGCCAAGGATGTAGTAAATAATCTTAAAGGTGTTCTTCAACAAAGACCTAGATCCACTTTTTATAAGCATAACAGAACCAACACGTGGTGTATTCAGATTGTCTCAATGAGCCTGACAAATATGAAAATATATACTAAACTCTAGTTTCTTTTAGTATTATGGTTGCATTACAAGCTGGTTCAATTAAACATGGCATTAAACTACTAAGTAAAAATATAGTATTAAAATCTATCTGAATCTATAAACATCTATGTTCTAATTAATTCGTTTGAATCATGTTGGTGATTTAAAGTAATGTCATCACGAATTATCATTTTAGATATTATAACATGAGGAAATTAGGACATGTTG